TATAAGATGCAAATCAGTGTTTATGAATGCAAGTCAAACATTTTAAATGGTCCAAAGTCCTTAGCAGTAAAGCTGGTCCTGAGTTCAGACCTCCCGCTTGGGGATCAACCAGAAAGCTTAAGAACACCTGTGATGCATGCTGCAGACAGAGTTCTCTGAGGGAAGTCTGCAGACTCACACACTGCCCGGGGTAGAGGTTGCACCTGATCACCCCTAAGCCCCACCGAGTCCTCAAAATGTAGAATTGCTTCTGGTTTCTGCCTGGCAAATACCAACAGCAGCAAGGTGATCATATCCTGGAAATGTTACAAGCTCCCTCTTCCAGGTGATGTTTCAACAGCACTGGCAGAAAATGTAGCCCGGGGATTGCTGCCACTAGATACACCACTACATTTAACATTATTAATATTTACCATTGAACAAGCACACACACACACACACACACACACACACACACACACACACACACACACACACACACACCAGGTCTCCCTAGGCCCTTCTTAAGCTTCATCCTGGGCATGCTACAATTCTCTGAACTCCTGGAATGTTTTCCTACACCAGTGCTCCATCCCTGGTCCCTAACCCTCTCAGATAATGTTCTTTGTATGACCTTCTGGATTGAGTAGATATTTACTCAACCCTTAGTTGTTTCTCTAACTTCAAGCCCTCTCATCTTTGGTCCTTTTCTTTTTAATCCTATTACTGGCACATATATTGTCCCTTTCATATTCATCAACTGGTTATCCCCCATACCCTCTAGATATTAAAGATAAGGTGTTACTTTTATTCCTCTTAATACATACAATGGAAAATTTGAGGATCTCTATTCTCATGACAAAATAAAAAGTAAGCTGCCTTGCTGTGAGTGACTGGGGTTCTTACCTAGAAAGAGGCATTTTAGAAATAGGGCCACAACCATATACCCTTGGGCCAAACCTAACTTGATTTTTTCCAAGTTGATTTAAAATACCCAACACATGCTATCAGTATTATTTCTACCCCAGTTTTACAGCCACAATCATCAGGGAGGATATTAAAGTTTTTCTTGCACCTTCTGCCTATCTGAACACTGGCTTCCAGTCTTATTATAAAACATTAAGAATCTAATTCACATCTTGCTGCAACAATAAAGTTCTGCAGAAACTAAAGGGAAATACATCTTCAGTGAGATTCCATCATCCCTTATTAATGCCATAATTGAGGGCTATAAATCTGTTTCTTATACAATTCATGCAATAAAACACTTAATGGATTGTGAATGACATGTTATAAAACCAGGCATTAAGTGTCGCAATCTATATTTAAATGTGATGCAGACATAAATAAGCTCTCTATAAATAGTAGGCATCCTCATATCAGTGGATATAGTCTTACACTTCTAGCCGACTCAAGAACATTAGAGACCATTGCCGGCACCAAATTGTAGTATGAATGAGGTGGGTCGTTTCCTTTCTCTCAAGTTTAAGATAGTTTATGAATATCTGATTGTTCAAGAGCTCTGCAGAGGCAGTTCGAAGGGCCACTGTTATAAGACGAGCACCTTCAGGGACCATCAGAATGCTCATCCACCTGCCCTGAACCAGGGTGTTGGACATTAAGGCTGCAGCATGGTCCAAATGAAGACATGATGGGAAGACTAAAGCAATGATGCTGCACCTGGAATCACAAAGATTACTACCACCCAAGACTGCCCACTGTGCTCCACATCCTCTGTGAATGGACATTACACTGAGACAAGGTGCTGCCTACCTCTCGTAACCCAGCCAAGAAGAGAAAACAGCAGTCACCAATCAGGAGAACCTTCAGTGACCATCACACAGTAGCTCTTAGATAAGCAATGTGGCTCAGACAAGAATAAGTGCTCATCTGTGAAGCAGAAGCCTTAGTTCCTGACTGTTTCTGTTTGGTACTGAGGTTGGCAAACATCAAATTCTAGCACAGAAACATCTCCCATTGCTGTTAGGTAGGACATCTTGTCTCTCTTCTCTCTCTCTCTCTCTCTCTCTCTCTCTCTCTCTCTCTCTCTCTCTCTCTCTCTCTCAGTGTGTGTGTGTGTGTGTGTGAGAGAGAGAGAGAGAAAGAGAGAGAGAGAGAGAGAGAGAGAGAGAGAGAGAGAGAGAGAGAGAGAGAGAGAGAGAGAAATCTGGTCTCTGTCATTAAAAATCTTGGCAAATCTTAACATTTCAGTCAAATCAAACGGCTGTTGTTTCCCTACATGAGATGGAAGCAAACATTGATTCACCATGCTCACAACATAAGGCCATTTACAAACCAGTTCTGCCACCTTGGTAACTAAATAAAACTACACATACACATATGCATACACATAGGCATGCACACACAGGTGCACAATACATGCATGCATATATACATGCATATATATTGCTAAAGCCCACATACTACCATGGCCAGCATGGTTAAGGAGAATCTGGACCAGCGATCTGATTCTAACTTATGGTCCCATAATTTGGTTTCTTAGGAGGAAAAAAGAAAAGAAAAAGCCAATGAATACGCTCTACTATTGGTTCTAATGTGAGTAAATGGCTCAGGCCTATCCATATCACTTGCTTAGTTTACTACTTCTCTGCCACCCTATGAGTCCTGACTTCTAACCCCAAATATAAAGCTATGTCTTTCGAAGCTTCACAGATTAGTTTCTTTTTCTCCAATAACACAATCCCTGGAGTAGAGCAAAAAATATCAGTCTCTGGCAATATTCTGGTCTACTCTGTCCCCAAATACAGCTGGGTTATCTGTAACCAGAGCCACCTATGGGTGCCTGCAGCAAGCACTCCACCAAATAGTCACATTTCTCCTCTGCTTCTTTTCCTCACCTCATGATCTCTTATGTTCCAGTTATTGATCACCACTGTATGCCAGGTATGATCTAGGAATCTCAGTGGACAGAAGGGAGTATTTTTTCAATGCTGAAAATATTCTTAGTTATCCTTTGATAATTTCATATATGTTTCCATGTATTTATCATATCAAATTTACCCCACATTATCCTATCTTACCACTCCCTCTGAACCCCAAAAAGTTTTCTTCCCACTTTCATTCTTAAAAAAATACTTACCTGCTAAGTTTTGATTAGGGTGTCCTCCACACACACGTGTATGAGATTACTTCCCTACAGGAGCATGTGCAACTTATCAAATAAACAGCTACACCACTGAAGAAAAGAAAACCCTACCCCAGCACCAATAACTGCCAATAGCTCCTTGGCTAGGATGGGGTCTTGTGAAGAGAAGGGAATAATTTTTGCCATATATATCACATCTCACAGTTACAGGCAGAGAAATAGATCCCGTGACCGACCATCTTACTTTAGGTTACATGTTCTATAAACTGGAGAATTTTTATCTGTGCGTCTTTTCATCCTGGCTTATGCCACTTAATAACTAAGTTGATAGGAATCAGAATTGTGCCTCACAGGTGACACGTGGAAGACTCGATGCTGAGCTTCCAAATGCAAATCTATAAAACCCGATATAAATTAGCAGAATAGAATTGCTCAGGCCACAAAGACTGCTCTCAGCTGTGAATACCAGAGTTTGTGAGAGCTGTCTAACAGTGGGTGTCATGCCTCAGTTTCATTGCCTGTAACCTGTGCCCATTAGTATTGCTTCATGAACAAAAGGGCGGGTGGTGAGGACTGTAAAGGACAGAACATAAGCCGGGCACTTTCACAAGAGCTTGAAAAAAAAACCTGGTTTTGTTTCATGTTTTCCACTTCCTTTTGCATATTGTCTTCATTTTTTTCATTCTTTCTGGCTTTTATTTGTTTTCTTATTTCTTTTTATCTCTATCAAGAACACCACAGTAAATAGCTTAGATTTCTGTTTGTATGTGTGTATGTGTAATAGAAACGAGTTACATTTTTAATATTCATGAACTGGAAACAACCAAAATATCCCCTTATAAGACAGTGGTTACCACACGGTACATCCATGGACTAATATTCCACAGTTTAGAATGAGTTCCCACCAAATACCGAAACATAAATTTGGTTGGAACTTAAAGTCATTTTGTGGATATGGAAGCAAATCCAAAAGCTCACACACTATATGATTCCATTCATATCACACTCTCAAATGACAAAAAAAAATGTAGAGATGGTGAGTAAATTAGTCATTATCAAGATACCCGTGAGTCGAAGCCGGCAAGAGAGAGCTGTGAATCTAAAGGGGAAGCACGTGGAATCTTAGCAGCAGTGAATTAACCAACATGGGCAACTTAAGACTTAGGGAGAGGATATGGTTGTGGTGGTCGGGGTAGGATGAAGATTTGGAGAAGGGAAGATGGTTACCACCTAAATGCATTGCATTTGTGTATAAAATTAACAAAAAGGGTTAAAATACAGTTAAATTCAAGTTCTTTGGGTTTGGATTTTGTTTTGTTTTTTTAACTGAAACTAGATTTTATTTTCATATAAATCAATATGCCTTCCCCTTTAGCGGCTCCTCCCCACTTACCCATGAACTTAAATCCGCACCCTTTCTTTCTCTCCTGAAAGTCCAAACAGGCAAATCTAAAACTAATAGTAATAGGGCTCAGGCATTAAAGGCCAGCCTCACAACCAAAGCAAATAATAACAAAAGGACCAAATAAGCCAAATTCAAGTTTTAAAGTGATTCTTTCTGCTGTCCCGTGGCTACCGCAAACCCCATTTCTGCCACTGCTCCAGTTTGCTTTCTGTTGCTGTGATACACATCATGAACAAAAGCAACTTGGGGAGAAAGGGGTTTGTTTGACTTACATTTCCATGTCTCAGTCACTCGTGGAGTGCTGCTATGAGCTGCTGGTGGGACAGCCACCCTTTGAGAGCAGCACTGACAAAGTGACTTATAAAGGCAACATCACTGTGGATTTGAGGTTTCTGGAATCGGTGCCCTTGGGAGCCCAGGACTTAATCTCCAAGCTGCTTAGATAGGATCCCTCAGAGCGGTTGAACAAGGCCCAGATCCCGAAGCACCCCTGGGTGCAGGAACACTCACATAAGCTTCTGCTTCCTGCTGCTCAGATGGCTTCCTGAGCCCCGTCTGCCTGTGTTTCTTTGTCTTTATTTGTTCAGGGAGCTCTCCAGGCAGGCTCTGTTTTCTCTTCAGTTCTGCTTGTTTTCTCTCTTAAGTGCAAATTAAATAAAAGTGTTTTTGCTTGTTTACTCCTTAAAGTGCAGATTGAAACGGATTAAATAATAATAATAATAATAATAATAATAATAATAATAATAATAATAATGGAATGCAAGCAGATCAGGAACCTGGAGGCAGAGGCCATGAAGGTAAGACCATTACTGGCTTGCTTTCCTATAAAAGTCCAGGGATGGCACCGCCCACAGTGAGTGGGGCTCACCCACATTCATCATCAAGAAAATGACCCACAGACAAGCCCAAGGACCAATCAGGTGGAGGCAATTTTCACTCTTGTTCCCTCTTTCCAGGTGATTCTGGTTTGTGTCAAGTTGACTTAACCAGCACACTGCCAACTACAGAACCAAAGAAAATGCCCAAGGCCGTTCAAAAGAATCAGAGACCATGCTCCTAAGACCTTGGGAAAATGAGCTCAAGATTTGACTTCCAGCATTTGTTTGTTACAGACAACTATCTTTTTTTCATTTTGTCAGAATCTCATTACACTTTCATTTGAAGACTTTTTTTCTATTCATGTAGATTTCTATTCGGTTATTCAGAATAACTGGGTCCTATTTTAAAATTCTCATCAATGAGTTTGCTGTCATTTTCTGCTGTGTAATTGTTCAGGAGCCCTCTGACTGTGTCTACTAAAAAAAAAGGAGTTGCAGCTGTTGGGTTTCTAGATATTCATCGTGTTTTCTTCTTAGTCTGCCCCACTTATTTTTTCTCAATAATAGTAACTCTCATTTTACCAACTAGCTCTCAATGCAAATCTTTCTGCAATAGAATTTTGAAGATCCCAGGTTTGACCTCTTGACATTTTAATGGTTGCCTTCTATCAGACCAGCAATTAGATTGAAGTAGTGGCTGATCTGCTGTGGTTCACATGATACACAGGGAGTCTCCTCTGGTCCCCCAGGCAATGATGACCCTTACACTCCTCTTGGCTGCCCACCAGAGGTAGTTGACAAGGTCCTATTGCTGGACACACCTTAGTTGCAAGACGCAAAGAAATAAAGTTGAAATGATCTGGAAGCTTCCTCTTTGGTAGCCCTAGAAGGCACCACACGTGGTACTGGATGAGAAGGAAGTCTTTTCCCACTTCAAATCCTATGAGTCATGATACTGACCAGCGAGGAAGGAAGCGCCCACTGGGAAAGTGGTAGCTAACTATAGGATTATAGCGTAGACAGTCACTCTAATTGTACTCACTGCCAGCTTCACAAGAGGGACTCATGTGAAAAACAGCAGCTGAGAAGGTACTTGGCACTATAGCACACCTATTTCTGTTGTTTAGCTGAATTGGCATGGCTTCAAACTGCCATCTAAACATTTGTTTATACCCGTAGACAGATGCTACTCCAGCCTTGATCAGAGAAACTTCACAGTAAGACTCAGCTAATGTGAGAAACACCAGTTCTCATGATGGGAATGGCTTTGAGTACTTGACCCTAAATAAGACATTCATACCACCCCTCAGACTTTATCCCATAACACAGGAATAAAGGTCAAGGAATACTGGCTTCTGGACATGGCACAACCATTGCAAACACAAACTCACAGCAGCTGTGGCTCCCTGCAATGTGGGACCAGCAGAAGACTGGGACTGTTAACAGCAAATGAATGATCAGGAGGAACCAATGGGGCTCTATTCACCCCTGCTCCAACTATTTGCTACTAATAGATTCTTGAGGAGAGGTGTTCATTGTTTTCAACTACGTACCCACTGGAATGTACAACAAGATAACGCAAACCAATGGTCACATGGGGAAACTGATTAAACTCAATGGGCCTCAAAACAAATCCAAGTCGTGAATGTGAGAAATGGAAGTAATCCAGGTGGGAGAAGATGAGAGGGGAGTTACAGAGATCAGAAAGCACTATCTACATTATTAAATCATCAAAGAATAAGTTCAATAAAAGTTATTTTAAGAAAATACGCCATGACGTCCCTATACTCTTTTCCTTTCATCTAACCTACATTTTTGAGGCTTTATATTAATAAAACATGTCAGTTAACTGAGCCTAAAGGGGCTGCTCTCCTAGGGAGCATGGAAAAACTCCCATCTGACAACCATACATCATTGTGGTTTCATTAGATCTGTGACTTCGGTTAGAAAATTCCACGAGGAACACGTACTGCCGGGCCAATTTAATCACACGTCTCGTGTCTTCACTTTGTTCTCTGTTGCAGTTTCCTGTCATAAGAGGAAGAGAAACAAGTATTGATTTTAAGTTATCCATTTTAAAAGTAAGTTTGAGCCTCCAACAAAATTGAAAAATGGACATACACACTTCAGCGTCTTCCCAGACTCTCTGCTCGCTTCAACATTGCAAGTATTCTTCCTCCAACTCATCTATGTCGCCAACCCACACAGTCTTCGCTATGACTGTCCTGAATCCCATCCAGACTAACATACAGCTTTGCAGATATCCCTTCCACCCGGAAGTCATGTCTCCATCTAACATTTCTTCTTACCCTTTGGGGGCCATGAAAGTGAGTCAAAACCAAGCCTCATTGTGATGTTAGTAACTATTAATGGCCTAATGGCGGGGAAGATGTCCCCCTCAAATGATTTGCATATGCTTCCTAGATGCTTCTAAAGGCTGAATTTGAAATGTTATTTTTAAAAAGGCTGCAAGCTTAAGTCTCATGTCAGATGAGCAAAGGGAATCCAGATAAGTGATAAGAAGTGCCCCTGCCACCTACCAATCACGCTCTATGTAAAAGCTTGCCTTCCGAACCTGGGCATGTCTATCCTTGCTTGGCAGTCTGCTCCCAGATAACTGTGCTATTTGAAGGGATTCTGGCAGAATCTTGATGAACTAATCAACCTTCTTACCTTTGGAAGCATAGCAACTGAGAGTGAGCTGAATTTCTGAACACAAAAAGATGGCACTTTTCTGGAGAAAAATGTAGTCACTCAAATACCAAGCAAGGCTTCCCCCCCCCCTTTTTCTTTCTTTCTTTAATCGATTGAATAAAAGCTTTAAATTTTCCATGCAACTCGAGGGTTTTAAATTTTTAATACAGATTAATTTATTGAACAATGACACTTAAGAGCCGGGAATGATGCAAGGAGATTTTTATGAGGGTAAGTGGGGAAGAGAGGGAAAATGCTGACTAATTAGCCAGTTGTTTAAACACTAGGAGAGCAGCAAGCATTGGAGATAGCCAAGCCTGGCTAGGGAGCAGAGATGAATGGGAGCAGGGATGAGAATGTACATCCTTACCTTTCTGCATATGGTGAAAGGAAAGACCCCCCCAGTGTGAAGTTCCCAGCGTTCATTACACGTGGAACTGCAAAACTTCCAGGGTTACTTTGATATGAACAAGGTTAATGCGTTCCTCGAGATTAATTGTGGCTTCACCAAGAAATTTATTGAGGGTGAGGGAATCCGAAAGTGAAAGGAGGGGCAAAAGGCTCGTTAGAGATTTATCATCAGGGGGTGATGGATGGAAGCCTTCAGAAACCAATAATGGGATTTTAAAGATTCACATAGGCTGCACTAAAAGGGATTTCTAGGGCTTACCTTGGACAAAGTACAGCTGGTGGCTGGAGGGCAGGGGAGGGGAACGAGTGAGCACAGTTAGCCACTGCAGAAGCAGCCTCCACCACAGATGATGCCTTGATGGACTGACAACGGGTCATGGCTTTAGTGTTGCTCAGGGATTATATGGATTTGCTTTTAGACTGATCACTAAACAAGTTACAAAGGAGACAAAATAACCTTCAGAAATGCTGGTGGAGTATAAGTATGGACTTTGCAATTGAGTAGAGCTGAGCTGGGGTCTTATCTATTGCCCTCATTAGTTGTATAGTGTTGGGCAAATTACCTTCATTTCTTTTTCCCTAAGAACAAGAAAAATAATCACACCAAATTATATGTGTTGTAAGACACAAGATCATGAATTTTAAGCAATTAGACATTTAAAAACTCAGGAAAATATGCTATCATTCCCAGAACCATTTCCCTACTGTTGTCAGTAGTAACAGTGAACCGAGTAGGTATAGAGACCCAGTAAGGGGCTGTAGAGTTAGCTAGAAACACCCAGTGCATCCCAAGCATGTTCTGTGACACAGCCAGAAGAAGATCTAAGTTGTCTTTTCTGTAGATAAGATGATCAAATAATGACCCCTTCTTCTTTAGGCATAGCTTGTCAGTCACAAAGAGTTTGCAGTTCATTACATCACTACTTCATATAAAACCCATTCTAATTAATTAGACCTTGCTTAACTTACTTTAGAAACTCAGTGCAATTTCAGATGAACACAGGATGCAACTTGCATTTAATCAGTTGTATTAGGAAGGATTTCTGCACCTTTCTAGGGAGAATTCCATAGATGCTTCATATGTATGTAGAGTCTTGTTACCTTCAACTTCAGTGGGCAACATACTTTATATTTGTCTACAACTTTGCAAACTAAGTATGTTTTAGAGTTATGAAGTTCTTCATGTACTTATTGAATCCATTTCTTTCTACATGCCAACTTTTACAGAAAACTGAACCAAAACTTAACAGTTGTGTTCAAGATGACCAAAGTAAGAAATTGTGGCCGTGTGTGTGTGTGTGTGTGTGTGTGTGTGTGTGTGTTGATTACATAACACCTTGGTTATTTTACATGTTGCTGCCTCATCAAAACACCTGACTAATGCAGCTTAAAGGAGAAAGGGTTTATTCTGGTCCACAGGTCCAAGAAGGTAGAGTCCATCATAGTGACAAAGACACAAAGGCAGGAACCTGAAGGGTAGATTGTGTCACCTTTTCTACACAATAAGAGAAATGCATTTCCCTGGTCTAAAGGATTAGATTGATTGAATAATTGCCATGTGACCCCAATTTAACCAATTTTAACTTTCCATGAGATCTATCTATCATTATTAATATACTCTGTCCTTATGAGGTTTCTAACTTTAAAGAGAACATCAGTAGGAGTTACTGGGAGAGCTTGAAAATTCTAGAAGTAATTGGTCTAAGAACTTTTTTTTAAAGTAGCACAAAGTAAATTTGAAAGATGAAGTCAAAGGGCTGACTTAACTAAGTCTCCTGA